AGTTCAAAGGAAGAACACAAAAGCAATCTAAGAGCTGGAAAGTAAGTCCCATGCATCATCTTCTGGAGCTCAATGCATTCAGCTTCATGAATTTTGAGAAGTGACTTGGAAAGTATTTAATTGCGGAGATATTTTATGTCTTGATGGCAAAGGTAATGGTTGTAACCTACAGTCAGAGAAATTCAACCTTTAAATAAAATCCAATTTCTCAATTCTGAGGCTAATTCAAAACAACTTACTAGGGAAGGTGGTGGATTCACTATCACTTAATTATTTAAAATGAGATCTCTTTCTAAGAGCTGTTTTAATGCAGGTTCTGGGATCAGGAAAAAGGTACACACAAAGAACTTCTCTCAAAAGCAAGAGTTTGGGGAGTTGTTCATTTCCCCCTAGGTTTATTTATTTAATGCATTCTGTGGAGAGGTGAAAATAACTGATACTCCTTGAATGTCAGATATGTTAAAATATATAAGAAAAAACCTCATGGTTATGTATAGCTTAAAATTATTACAAGTGAAAAAGGTGCATCACCTTTATATAGTTTGCCTTTTGTTCTTTGCTTAGCTTGGACAATAAAAATAGATTACTGATCAGTTTATTTTCTTGTTTTGATGCAATTCTGATATTACAAAACTGGATGAAAAATATTTAATGCAGATGTTTTAAACAAAAAGCTGTTGCCTTTGTGTTTTAAATCTGTAAAAATATGTTTAATATTTGTTCCCTCCTCTTTTTATTCATTTCCTCCCCATGTATTAATAGGGGACACAGCTGCACCAAAATTCTGTTGTTGTTTTTTTAAAGTGTCAACTCCATCAGTGATTTTAACATCTTCACTTCAACATCAGCCTTTCATGTTTCTTATTTCCTGTTTATTCTTATAATTTTCTTACCTAGATGACTGCTATTCATATAAAACATTTATTTTAAAAGTTTCTTTACGCTGGACTGATGTGAATATGCCCTTGGCAAATCAAATATTTTGATGGAGATTTTTCAAATCAGTCTATGACCCACGTTATCTCTTCATTTGAATGTGTCTTAAAATCCCTTTGACTGCTTTGAAAAGCTCAATCCTACAGGTATTGTAAGCAGCTTTGGTTTTCTGATTAACTGGTTAGTAACCACCAGGAAGACAGTTTGTTTATTTTGCGCAACTTACATAGGCACAAATTTCCTCAGCAAAGCCACAGACAGTGGCAAGTGATGTTAAGTAGAGTTTTCTGTTGATACTTTTATCCCATTTCCTTCTCTTGGCAGAAAAGACAATTTAATCTTCCCAGAGTTCCTACAGACAGATAATACTCTTTAAATCAACAAAAAGTTGAAGGAAATAATAAAAAAATGCAAACACTGTGAGGTTCTGTCTATATCAGGCAAAAAAGCCTAAACAGATTTCTCATTATTAACAACACTGTGCATGCTCTGTTTAATACTACTATTAAATTTCAGCAAGGTGCTTTAAACACTTGTGGCTACTTAAGTCTTCTTTTATGGTAGCTATCCTGTTATTATGAGACCTGTATGTAATTAAAAATCCTGGATTGAAAATGACTAAGCTGCAATTACTTTAGTTACAGTTGTACAACATGTGATCTTACTGAAAAAACTATTATATTAACACGTAACACATATCAGAACATATCAACAGAACAAGAAAGTAAGTTATAATTAGTAGGAGTGCACCAATAAAGATTTTTTTGGCCAATATCAGTGGCTGATTATTAACCAGACATATGGGATGATACCAGTCCGATAGCTGATATGCAGCCTGGCAGCTTGGAGAGCAGTGTCCGGCTGGTCAGTCTGTAGGGGGGAAGGGGCATGAGGGGGACAGATTGAGGCCCCCACAGTGAGGGAAGGAGTGAGGCTGAGGTAGGGGCAGGCCAAGGGAGGCTATAGGGTTGACTACAGCCACCCCAAGATTCCCCATAGCCCCCACTCCCAGTGCTGCCCCCACCTATCCTGACTGCAGCCCTGGCCCAGCCCCCCTGCTGAGAAAAGGCCAGCACAGCCCCTGGCCCCAAGCCCAGAGGGCAGCCCACCTTGGCCCTGTGCACATATCCAGGGGGCACATGCCCCCCATGCCTTCCCTGGGGGTGCGCACAGCAGCAGAAGCCACCCCACCCCCCACACGAGCCATCCACAGCTATGTCCCATGCCCTGCCTCGCCCCCGTTGGGCAGCATCTGCCCCTGCCCCAGCCCCATTCCCTCCCTCACCGTGGGGGCCTTGATCTGCCCCCACTCCAAGCCCCTTCCTTCCCACAGACTTACTACCTGCCCAGCTATATTCCTGGGCACAGCATGCTGTGGCTATGCACGTGGCGTTTATCAGTGACATTAGTGGCTACACTGGCCAAAAAAAGCCGACTGCTGATAACATCAATTTTTCTTTTATCAGTGCTGATAAGATATGGACTGATATATTGGTGAACCTCTAATAATTAGGCATGGCAGGATTCAATTTTTATTGGTAAATACTGATAAATGTCAATTTCACCTCATCCTCACAGACTAACAAAAAAATATTTCCTTTGTTAATAATCAAAATTTATAGAAAGGGGACATAAGAAAAATGATGGCTGATGGAGTGCATGACGACAGGGGGAGCAGTCCTATAGAACCGTGCTGACTGTAGTTTGAACTGCAACTCCCTGAAACCCCAAGGGACTGGGAACAACGGAAGAGGAAGTGACAAAGCTGACGATGGAGCTATGGGCAAGTGGAGCCAGGACCGATGACAGCTCTGCTGCTCACCTGACGCAGTCCTACAGTAGTTACATTTGTCATTAATAAACGGTCTGCTCCCCATACCCACAATTACAGGGCAAGCCATTTTAAGCAGCATGCAGATAGAAGGATATTAGAATGTGAGGAATCCAGTCTATTCTATCTCCATATTTTATTAAATTACGGTATTGAAAATGGCCACTTAAAAGGGTTCACTCAAAATCATATGAGCATGGTATTTCAAACAATAAATTCTGTTAACTACATTTTTGCCTCGTTTTTCTACAAACCGAGATGGATGTGCACGTTGAATACTATATAGAATAGTTCCAGGGCAGGGTCAATAGAAATCCACAGGCAAGAGGAAAAAAATTATCATCCTTGGAACCCATGGGTCTCCCTGTTTCAGCATGGACTTTTCTGGTTTGTACAGAATGTCTTGTCTACACTAAAAACAGTTCACTTGTACAGCTGTTAGCAAACCCTTATTGGTGCAAGTTCTTTTGCTGCTATAACTCATGTTTGCATGTTTACAACAAGGCTTTCCCTGCATTGTTAACTATGACATGATTTTATTCACATCCTAACCAAACACAGCTACGTGAGCTAAACTCTTATAGATTCAACCTTAGCCTTCGTTTAAAAAATAATCTAGTTCCTCTGACTGCATCCACATTAGATTTTTGCTCAGAAGTAACACTGCATTACAAGTGTAGGCAAAGCACTGGCATTTCTAACAGGGATCACACAGGGGTACTTCTTGTTCTTGGTCAGAACCAGCTTTATAGGATAGCTCACAAAAGCCGTAGTAGATTTCATAGATTTCATAGACATTAGGGCTGGAAGGGACTTTGGAAGATCGAGTCAGGCCCCCTGCCCAAAGGGCAGGAAGTCAGCTGGGGTCACAGGATCCCAGCAAGATAAGCATCCAATTTACTCTTGAAGGCGTTCAATGTAGGTGCTTGAACAACCTCCGATGGCAGGCTGTTCCAGACCTTGGGGGCTCGGACAGTAAAGAAATTCTTCCTTATGTCCAACCTGAAATGGTCTTGCAGTAGTTTATAACCGTTCAACCTCGCCATCCCTTGGGGTGCTCTGGTGAACAAACGTTCCCCCAGATACTGGTGGTCACCCCTGATAAACTTATAGGTGGCCATCAGATCACCCCGAGCCTGCACTTTTCCAGGCTAAAGAGCCCCATGGCTCTCAGCCTGTTGTCGAAAGGTCTGTTTTCCTGACCTCTGATCATGTGTGTGGCTCTTCTCTGCACTCTCTCAAGCTTCTCCACATCCTTTTTGAATTGTGGAGCCCAGAATTGGATGCAATATTCCAGCTGCGGCCTCTCTAAGGCCAAGTACAAGGGGAGAATGACGTCCCGAGATTTGCCTGAGGAGCATCTATGGATGCAAGCCAGCATTTTGGTCGCTTTACTAGCCTCAGCATTGCACGCATCAAGTAATATGTCCCCTGATCCTGATCTCTAATCAAGATTGCTTTATGCCCTGAAACACAAGATTTAATATCCCTTCCAAATGGTCATTAATTATGAAAACCCTGGATATTTTTCAGATCTATATAAATATCTGTGCCTTTTAAAATATTTATTGCTACCTGTGGCAATGAGCGGCACTGTTAGTCATGTGTTGTATGACCAAGTATTTCCTTTCTTCATGTTTAATGTCCTGATTTTTAAATTTAATTGAATATTATCTTATCTTACAACACTGGATAAAACCATGTTGTCCAGCCCAGTTAATTTGTATTAACTGACTGCCAGTTATCTTAAGTAAGCTTCAAAGTGTCTGCTATATTTTTCACTGCTGATCACACAAGAAGTAGCCAATTAATGTGTTTCATGTGGCTGGTGACAGTCTCATGTTTTACAAGAATAAGATTATAAGTTTTGAATATGCAGGGGATTATATTACTTCCATTATTTTTATAATTAACCATCTATTATCCTTGAAAATTAGAGCAAAACTGATTTTATGTCTTCTGTTAAAGAAATATTACACTTCTACGGCGCAGATTCTATAAAGCTTGGCTCTACAGCAGCAAAGCAGTTCAATTTAATAAGCCAATAAATATTTTTAAATGACTCTCCCTTTACCTTTATAATAGTGTCCAAATTTGAATAAAAAAAGAGTAAATCCAAGTGGAATAAAATGTAGAAAAAAAGAAACAACAACATTTTTTCCTCTTCCTTTGAAGTCAAAGGTCCTTCTGGAGAAACATTCCAATTTCTGCAACACACTGAAAATATTTTTTGCTTCCATGAAATGCATTAGTCTGAGAATTTGAGATGAAGATTTCTCTTAATAGAAGTTTGCCAATAAAACAATAACCACTAATGGAAAGAAACATCAGACAGATGCGCAGTTTGTAATTGTAAATTCCTCACAAACTAGTATTTACTGTACACTTCTTTTTGTCTGTAAGATGTTGATGAGGCACTCCTTAACCAACGCAAATACTGTTTGTAGTGTCTGCAGCTCTTCGTAAGAAGAGGCACTCCAGAAAGCTGTGATTAACACTTTCCATTTTTATGGAACCTTTTATGAGAGGATGTATTCTTGAAACAATTCAAACACCACAACAACCAAAGGTAGAAAAGTATCACAACAACTATTTTACAACTTGGAACGATACGGTACCTACATGTAGTATAAGCTGCCCAAAGATACAGAGCTCAGATCAGAGGGCACAAACAGAAGGAGATATCCTACTATGCTCTTTGACATGTCACTGTCTTGCTTGCTGGGTAGCAATTTGTTAATAAGTCTTAGGAATCCCAGGAAACAAGGAAGATAGTCTGTCAAAATGAGTGTCATATTGTACACTGGTACAGTTCGAGATTGTATGACAGGATGCATCTCTTATCCACCCCACCAGCAAGGGTTTCAAAGACAATTACAGCACATCAATACTCTGTCGAGTTTTTTTCTGCGCCCGACCTAGACCCAGAAATGCAGTCAGTGCTGATCTCAAGCCCTGACAACCCCATGTGTAGGGGTAGGCCCCAACAGCCAATGCGTGCTCTGACAGGAACCCCACTGGAGAAGTGCTCGTGGTGCAGCCCTGTCAGATTCCAATGAATCTGTGAATTCTGCATGAAGACCTTGTCCCAGGTTTGCTGCCTGAGACCTGGAAATGCCTTGTCACTACAAGGACAAGAGAAGGAAGGAACGAAGGATGGGAACCTCAGTACTGAACAGTCCTTCCTTTTGCTCCCACTGTGTGCCAGAGCCAATAGCATACATTTTTTTTCTCCCTAATATCAATGCAGAAAATAGGTTTTCTGGTCAAACTCGCTCAGTAACCTAAACCCCAGACATGCAGAGACCCCTTTCCTGCCACGAGAATTTCTATGCTACAATTCCCAACCCACACAATTTCTCCACACAGAATCAATGGTAAAGGACTGTCTTCCCCCTACAAAATCTTTCCCAAGATTTGCAGGGGAAGGTGTATCGACAGCAAAATAGCAGTCCTCCCCATAGTTTTCTCAATACTCCGAGATTTCTCACTTTACCTAATAAGTCTCTTCCAACGAAATCCCCCACACTTCTTACAATTTGTATTCAAGAAAAAGGGCGGGTTCTTCATTCATATTAAATAACATTCTACTGCAAATTGCTTTGTTTCCAGTGTTCAGACTAGTTGGCCACTTGAGTTAAAGCCCATGGCTTCACTACCCAAAGCTGAGGCAGGGGAGAATGGGGTTCATTAAGACAGTCAATTCCTGTTAGTTGTCATACTACAAGACTCTTGAGGAAACAAGACACCAGTAGTGTTTGCCCTGAAGTGGGAAGGCAAGATTAATGCAATCCCTGCTGCTGGGACTGACATCAGTAAGCTACATTAAGGTAAGAATGATAGAACCCCACTGCTGCGGGATTTTACAGCGAGATACCTAACGGCTGTAAAAATGCACGGCACCTTTTTGGTCATAGGCACACAGCCGAAGCCTACAGGATAGTCCAGCCTGCTGACATGAAAAATATGAACTTCTGTGTCTTCAGGAGGGTTTTGTCTCCCAACAGCTACCTCCCAAACACAACC